ATACGGATCCGTCTAATTATCGACCGATTTCACTAACAAGCTGTGTTTGCAAAACCATGAAACGCATGATAAATAATCGACTTGTTTGGTACTTGGAAACAAATAACCTTATAACAGATATACAATGTGGTTTCCGTAAAAAACAGAAGTACTGTCGACCACCTAGTGCGTTTGGAATCATTTGTTAAAAATGCACTAATTAATAAACAACACGCTGTGTCTATCTTTTTTGATCTTGAAAAAGCATATGACACTATGTGGAAATATGGCATATTAAGAGATTTACATGGCTTCGGATTGCGAGGCCGTTTGCCTCAATTTATAGCTAACTTTTTAAACGACAGACAATTTCAAGTCCGCGTGGGTTCTACCCTGTCTGATCATTACAATCAGGATCAGGGTGTTCCACAAGGCAGTATTTTGTCTGTTACCTTATTTAGTATCAAGATCAACAGTTTATCCAAGGTTTTAAATGATTATATCGATGGATCACTTTTTGTGGATGATTTTAACATTTTCTTGTCGCGGTAAAAATATGCATACTATTGAACGGCAACTGCAGTTGTGTTTAAAAACAAGATAAGTAAATGGTGTCTTGAAAACGGCTTTAAATTTTCTAAATCCAAAACTAATTGTATTCATTTCTGCCGTAAATACAAACCGCATAAAGACCCTGATCTATCTTTAAATGGCACACCCATCAAAGTTGTGAAGGAAGCCAAGTTCTTGGGTTTAATTTTTGACTCCCATTTAACCTTTCTTCCGCATATTAAATCCCTTAAAACTAAATGCCTGAAGGCACTTGACTTGTTGAAAGTTGTTTCAAACTCAAAGTGGGGAGGGGATCAAACTACACTCCTCCACCTATATCGCTCATTGGTCCGCTCGAAACTTGATTATGGCTCCATCGTGTATGGTGCAGCCTGCAAAAGCAACCTAAACCTACTTGATTCTGTCCACCACCAAGGTCTGAGACTTTGTCTTGGGTCCTTTCGAACTTCTCCTGTTGACAGTCTCTACGTTGAGGCTGATGAGCCATCTCTTACACAACGCCGTATAAAATTAACTTTACAGTATATTACAAAACTTTATTCCAATGAGTCAAACCCTGCATATAACTGTGTCTTTAGTCCACTATATGAAGATCTGTATAACAAGAAGCCTTCTCTTGTTCCGCCTCTTGGTATAAGAGTGCAACCTTTACTTTCTGCAGCTGGCATTGAGCTAGAACATATAGCTCCTTCCCGTCTTCTTTCTTCTCCGCCTTGGCAATTGGTTAGCCACAAGTTGACCTAACATTAACTACATTTAAAAATCAGAAACAAATGAATTACAATATAAACAAGAATTTAGTCAATTAAGAAATAAATATACTACATACAAATCCTTGTTTACAGATGGGTCCAAGGATGGTGGCGCAGTGGCATGTGCCACTGTTATTGGATCCAGAACAATATCTTCTAGAATACCGGATAACAGCTCTATATTTACGGCAGAAGCAATCGCCATCTTAACAGCTCTTAAATATATTCAAAGACATCCCAAACATAAACAATATCTAATATTTTCTGACTCTCTTTCTTGCCTTCAGGCTATTAAAAATCTCTCTTGCAAACATCCACTTTTAATTGAAATAATCGAATTATATAATGATCTTGCTACTGGCCAATGCGACATCGTCTTTTGTTGGTTACCCAGCCACGTTGGCATTTCTGGGAACACGATGGCTGATATTGCTGCTACGGCAGCCCTCAACAAATCTGTGACACCACTTCTTATTCCATACTCTGATTATAAAGCCAGCATTAGAACATACATCCGCGATCTAATGCAAAAGAAGTGGGACACCCAAGTAGGTATTAATAAATTACATGCAATAAAACCCTACATTGGTTACACCTACTTGGGTTGTCAGTCCAGATTTGAAGAGGTCATTATGCGGCGATGTCGCATTGGCCATACTAGATATACCTATGAATATTTGATTAAAGGCGAAGATCCTCCGTTTTGCATCCCTTGTGATGAAAGAATCACAGTCAAGCATGTCTTGCTTGACTGCATTGAATATTCCATCACAAGGGATATCTATTTCACATCCAAAACACTGAAGGATCTTTTTAATAATGTCAGTTCTCATTTAATTCTTGCATTTTAAAAAAAATTAGATTTGTTGACTGATTTGTAAATAGGTATATATTTTATTATTGGTAGTTTAGATTAGCAACTTAGATTGTTAGTGGCTGTACCCTCAAAGGGGTTGACGTAGCGTAAAATTATTGTCCTCCTGAGGGGTACGTAAGTCCCAAAACTTTCAAAGTCAATTTAAGTGTACCTGCTTTTTAATCGTAGAATAAGTGTGTTTTAATTTATGGCTAGATTTGTCTTCTGTCGCCAATGGCTGAAGGGATGGTGTAAATCCAACTAGGGTCCATGCAGGTAGCAAAGGCACTGTAAGTCCCCATGGTCTCTAGTATGGTGATCTACCTTCAGTTGTTGGCGATTTATAGCCCATTTTTACATTGTATTGTCTTCTTTAATTGGAATGTTTTAGCTTTGTTCGCTAGTTTTATATTGATAGCTGTGATTATCTAGTATTTTTACTGTCCTTCGTCGGCAGGTTTTTTATAATATACATATATTTCATTCTAATATCGCATGTTCTCGTCACGATATGGCTGAAATATTGCCGATGTGACGTTAAATATTAACTCACTCACTCTTTTGAAGTCAACGCTGTCTGAGACGTGAAGTTGTGACGACTTAGTTGCCGATGTAGCAGTTGCTGAGGCTATTCTCTCCACAACATCGTCGACAATCTTTAACGTGCCCTCTCATATATTTGTAATGTATACAATAAATACTTATTCAAAAGATGTCCCTGTCCAAATATACTGATATTCTGATAGACACCAACAAGACGTACGTACTAACTCTTAGAAACAAATATAACGTAATTATAGTGCCTGTTTCCCATATGTAAAATTTAACATTTTTAACGCCATTGCGAAATATCTGTTTATGGTTAGGAAACTTCTTTATGTAATAACAAGTGGTCTACATTAAATGGAACCGGAAATTACATATCTATTTCAGCAAATACATGCTCATCGAAACCGCTCTCATACAGGCGATGGGTGGTTGGGTAGCCTAGTGGTTAAAGGGTTCGCTCGTCACGCTGAAGACCCGGTTCGATACCCCACATGGGCACAATGTGTGAAGCCCTATCTTGGGTGGTGTCCCTGCCGTGATATTGCTGAAATATTGCTAAAAGCAGCGTTAAAGTAAACTAACTCACTCACTCACTCGCGGAGAAGCACAATACAGCTGTTAATCTTAGAATACATGTACTTGAGCCCTTAAGTCATAGAAATTACCTCAGAGATATGTTGATGTGGTGAAGTCTAGCTGGACAGTGGGCAGTATTTTCATCACTGACATCTACTTAAATTACCTTACAACTGAAACCATAACCTTTTATATTTTTTCACGCCTGAATTTATTCTTTTAAACCCATCCAAGCTATTTTAATTGTGTCGTTTGGATTTAATTTATAGTAAGAATCTTCTACTTTATCAAAACTGCTAATCAATACATTTTATTTTGGGTTACAAAGACATCATCAAACGAATTCCATTTGCCTGAAATCATTAGAAACGATGGGTAGAAAAGAGGCAGTTAAACATTTTCATTTGTAAATACACCCTCCACTACGTCAGTCCGTGCAATTTACCGCACGTGTTCATGAGGTGCAACCCAGATAGAGGATGCCAGTATTAATACTGAGGTGCAAGAGTTACAAAACTAGGGAGCCAGTATGCATTATTTTAGGTTTAAGCAGAATAAACTACACAGACTCGCCTCTTCGTAGTATATTTCTTACATATACCCGGTCTTCTGGGCCCCGTTCCTCAAACCGATCGTAGCGCTACGAATCCATGCTTAAGTATGGGAGTAACGATCATCTCAGCTCTACGATTTGTTTGTGGAACGGGGCCTTGGTCGTGAACCCACCAACATTTAGCATTAGATGGCAGATGCAAGTCCGTTTGATCACTTAAGCTTTACATGGGTACATGGCTAGCTATTGGTCTGAAAGAGCCAATTTGCTGAGAATAGTTTCCTCTCTCACATGTGTCAGTATCCGGTCTTATAGTGCACAAGGTGTGATTTCAATTTTACGCCGTTTACAGAAATATTCCAGCAATATCACTGCGGGGTGACACCAGAAAGGGCTTGACACATTGTACCCATGTGGGGAATCGAACCCGAGTCTTCAGCGTGACGAGCGAACGCTTTAACCACTACGCTACCCCACCGCCCCTATAGTGTACAAGTGAAAACCACGTTAAGATATATGTCAATGTCCTCCCCACAGAAAATATAGGTTGATGTGTATGTGTTTTATATCTATTCTGACCAAATGATTGACATTCATCAATATTATATCCGTGATTAGGGTACAGGCTAAATTATTACCAAACAGATGAGCCCTATGCATTGATGACGTCCATTCAGGCTAAATTGGCTATGTCATCAAAATTAATGATTCTTTTTATTACGATTGTAGCATTGTAACTGCGGAAGTTAAACCTAATATTTAGGTGATCCAAGATATTTTAGAATAGCCCATTTGTCCTGGGATCAATGATGTTTTGATTTGTATTGTGAAACATGGTGACAACACTGACCCTTTTGTTGTCACAATGAAACATGGTGACAACACTGTTGTGCTTCTCAAATATCAGCATTTGGGTAATATCTTTTTGCGTTTACACAAAGAGCGCATGGAGCAAGACTTGGCTTCCAGTGAGCCGTTTTAAGATAAGATCAAATGTAATACTATATGCCTACAGTATCTGTGCTTTCCGTGTGAGGGATATACTGATAAGCTGTGTAGTCGGCTGAGTATTTTGTCCTCATATGTCATTACACATTCTCCATTTGACGTGATCTTATACTGCGACTCCTGTTAGTTCATGCATATGTAACTTCCTGGATATCGCGTCCCTAGCAACAGGGGGAACTACGACTAAACATTAGACCAGATCTAGAAGTATGGAGAGCATGAAGGCCCTTCTATGTACTCTCGTCCTGGTGTCGTCATTCGGCTATGGTAGGTCATACAATCTAACAGCGTTATCGTTGTCCTTGTGTGTTTCTTCTTCAGTCAACATTTCGCGTTTGTGTCTAACCTTGGATAACTCGAAGTATTTTTGTACGTCCCTTAATTTTGACACTATATCATATATTTGTAACATATGCTATACACTTTCTTAGTAAAGTACAGATTCTAGTACTTTTGATGGGGTGAGTCCCATGCTGGATTCGAACCCACGCCCTCAGCGTCAAGTGGAAGCCGCGATGGCTTAATGGGTTAGAAGGCTGACTTTGTGTGCTGGCGATTAGGTGCCTGACTCTGAGGGCGTTGGTTCGAATCTCGGATGGGACTCAACCGAACATAAGTACTAGAATCTTTACTTTACTGAAAACGTGTAATTCCAAATATAACATACATTTGACAACTTTCTAAATGGCACTGTGTATATATAAACGTTTACATTTGTCCAACTTTTGGGCAATCAACGTCTATCGCTCCGGGTATTTGTTTATAGAATCAAAGGACAAAGTAGAATAATGACATATACTAACTAACTATATTCATGCTATAAGGTAACTGATTTCATGAACATGACTTAAATGAGTGAGGCAAAATGTGGCTTTTTCTTATTCTTTTTTCAGGAAGTGTTTGTCTGTTTTTTATTTGAGTATAACTAAGTATTGGACGCCGGCTGACATTCACTGATGAAATAAATAATAAATAAAATAAATAAATAAATAAATACAGTCACTGTGATAGTTTGTTAAACACCAAACAAACCAACGGTTCTTGGAACCTGCAAGTGTAAGAAAGAATAGGGCTTGAAGTCAACCGTTTGAACACTGATGGAAAATTTGCACAGGTTTTCAAACGCTGGACCAATCGTCGTTGGGCAAACGTTGTTTCCGGATGAATCAAAGTTTACTTGGTACTTCGTAGACATGCGCAACAGAGCGTGGCGTACACGGCATGGGCGTTTTCATGCCGTTAATGTCAGACAAAACGGTCGTTTCAGGGGTGGCTCAGTAATGGTGTTTAGTGGGTTCACTGTGAATAACTGTGAATAACATGCTATTCACATGACACTGGGCTGTACTACCGTGACAACATCACGGAGGAGCACGTGGTACCGTCTGCACGCCGACTTGGACGTCGTTTTGTGTTTCAGGATGACACAGGAGTAACTTGTCAACCCATTCAACCCACTCGCCTCTTTCCGTGTCCTACAAGAAAACTCGTACATGTATAGTACGCCATTATTGCCAAGAATCGTGGCAAACCAGTACGCGTGGTAAAATGTGAAATGATGTCAAATAGTTTCTTTGCGATTATCGATTTTCATTGTTATTTCCATGATTACAAACTTGTTACTGATATTTGTTAACGACATAAGGAACTTACATAAAGTGACGTTCGTGTTGTATTATAAATTAATTTGCGTTTTGTAAGAGTAGCCGTGTTTGGAAATTGACAGTAATCTTTCCTTGGAAATTGTATGTCCCAGACTATTTTCTTGTTTGCGCTTAGACAAGGCTCAGTCGTGAACATGGCCACGAGAGGGGTACGACTCGCCATCCGAGTAGCCATCGAATGTGTCTGGGATATCCTTGCACGGCGCCTACGTCATTGTCAACAACAATCGACCACTCTCGATGAACATGGCGCTGTCCTGCAGGAAGAATGGGATGGAATGAAGTTGACATTTAGATATGAGATTACCTCGTCTAATCCTGAAATGTCTTGCGAATACAGGCGGATTCACGCGATTTACTAAAAAAGTTAGGCCAGAAATGCTTGGACAATGCTTCTTGGCAATTATTTGATAATGGCTGATATAATCATTCATACCAACTCGACCTAATATGGCATATCACGATCACGGTGTACCATTCCCTATTCATAATGATTACTCGTAAAATATCGAAAAACATAGGCAAAATTCCATGGTAGAAACACTTCTAAGAAATAAACTATACTGTGACCCACCTGGCAGGCAGACAGGGTGACAGCGTTCATGTAACGCACGGGCAGCACATGCCAGGGACCGTCTCAAAATATCAAGTGTCAGTATAACTGCTGGTCGAGGACTCTAGCGGAATTACAACAGGTGCAACTCGGCTGACGTTAACGCCGTCCTGCAGACGGTATTCGTCCTCGATTTTGAGAACACGGTCTTCAGCCTTTTGCCACACTTCTGGAGTAATTCTCGCAAAAGAAGCATACACAAGCTCTTTAACGCTTGAAAGCTTGAATGTGGTATTATTGCGAGCAATCAAATTCTTACAGTTACCCCAGATCAGCTCGATGGGTTTGAGCTCACAGTGCCGTACTGGTGTACACAGAACTATGTGGCCTTGTTTTGCAACTAGTTCGTTAGTGATGTACTGGATTGGCTTTTTGTGCTGCCGGATGTTTTCCATGAGCTGGGGCTTTGTTTCTGATTGCCTGTAAGGAACGTTACAGTAAGTGAGAAAATCCTGCAAGTTAGCCTTGAGATTGCTCATGGTGGGTGTGATGGTACCAGGGACACGCAGGTTATGGTAACTGGCGTTATCCAAAATGATAACGCTTGGTACGTCCAGCTGCGGTAAAAGCTGATGTTCGAACCAATCCAAAAAGACCTACCCATTCATTTCGCTATCACCATCAGATTTCTTGGCCTCAAAAACAAAGTCACAACCCCCAATCAGTCCATTGCTACGGGTACCAGTATGCAAGATGATCAGGCGTCTACCTTTGCCTAATGGTAACACTGGTGCTTTAAAGAAACTCTGAAGGAAGCCTCATCCGATCGGTTGAGTCATTTTTATTACACCAGGTTTCATCAAGGTATATAATTTGAACCCCCAAATTGCGGTATTCTTCAACTGTTCTGAGATAAGCTGATCGCATGGACAGGATTGAGTACTTTTCTCCAAACACAGCTCTGTCATCTCCCCTTTTGGTGTACCTGAACCCCATTTCTACCAGAGCTACAATAAGTGTTGTTTTCGAGACATTTATTGTATCTTTGATCTCATCTTGTATTTAGCACACGTCAGTGGGATTTTGCGTTCATACAGTTTATAAACTGCACGGCGTATGACACCCTTATCAAAGCTATCCAGTTTGTGTTTCCTACCTGGTTTTGATTTTGACACGACCCCTGAGATAACTGATTTGTTTACAATTTTGTAAACCTGACTATATGTCAAATTAAGGGCGTTACACATTCTATAGTAAACCCTGTCATAGCTGACGAGAGGTTTCCCTCTTGTTTCTCCAGTATGAAATACTGGTATAAATTAATTGTTCTGCAGAGATATCAAGTCGCATGTTGCCAGTTCAGTGCTCATACACGAAGTGAAACTATCATTTATGTCATTTTTACAATCATATATGTAATTTAATTAGTTGAGGCTATATGAATAATTATAGTCTGTATTTCAAAACTACAGTTTGTACGTAGAATATTTACGAATGTTGTTAAAACGCCAAAATTTCCTCCTGTGAAGTCACTCCTCAAGTGCATTTTTTCATCTGAGCTTTAATATCCAACTAGGTAGAGTCGTACATGTATCATGTATGTGCTTTTATCTTGTGTCAAATTCATCATATTGATATTGAAGCCCAAAAGCGTTTTCCAAGCATTTCCGGCATTACCTTTTTTAACCAATTAGCAGTGGCGTAGCTACAGCGTAGCACAAAAAGCACGTGCTTACACTTTAAAATTGAAAAAAAAAGATTCAAGATGCTAAAAAAATTAACATTTAATTTGTTTTCATTTTTCCAGGGTGGTTTCTGGTATAGTGCCGTGGTACCTGAACGCACCTTGCCTCGCTGATCATTTATAGAGAAAACATGTTGTGTCTACACTATGCACTAGATTATGTCTGGAAACAGGCTGACACTTCAGTCCGAAATCGTTCGTTCTATAAACGTTATCGAAACTGTTACAGTCTCCTAGTATTGACTTAATTAAAGCTTCCAGTGAGGCATCAGTTGTCATTAGCAGTCTCCGGCAAATCCGTGAGGATGATGATGTATGGCAAGAACTGTTTGACGATGCCTCACAGCTTGCAAGAAAATAAGAGCTGGCCCCTAGTATGCCACGGTGTGTTGGCCGTCGGAAAATGCGGGGCAATGCGCCTGCTCCAACGCCAATGATGTACTGGAAGAGAAACCTCCCTCTTCTTGACCACGTCTCTCAGGAAATGGAGCAGTGGTTGATTGTACCTACTGGTCGCTTTGAAGCACGGTACTTAGTGTCTAGCTCACTGTACAACCTTACTGATGAAATTGTAGGGAGGATGTTTCAACAATTTGTTGAACCGCGTTAAAGCGACATTGAGCAGCTGAATGTTGAAGTGTGACGGTGGAAATGCCGTTGGTAGGACGTAGCCATTGAAGAAAGGCCATCTTGTCTGCTAACAACTCTCGACTTTGCCAAGGCGGATCTTTATCCTCACATCCATGTGGCCGTGAAAACCTTGGAGACAATGCCAGAGTCCTCTGCAACAGCTGAACGTTCTTTCAGCGCAATGAGACGCATTAAGACTTACCTCAGGTCAACAATGTTAACTGGCAGATTGTCTGCACTTGCACTTATTCACGTACATCGTGATTTCGTGGTAGACATTGACAAAGTCATTGACATATTCGCACAAGGTCAAACTAGACGACTGGCTCTTCTCTGTGACCAACATCTGTGATGACCTATTGTTGCTTTGATAGTTTGTTGAATCCTCTCAATCGTCATGAGATCCACCCTATGCTTTCAAGTTGAAGTGTTTTCGAGTTATCTTTAAGTTGTTTTGGTACTTTACTATTTACAATATTTTTTTGGTCAGGATCTTTATGGTTTGCATGTTTTACCATGGAATTGCTGTTTGCCTTAACATTAACTTGTGTTCAGAAGAATGTTTTACTTTTAGATGTGGTATACCACCCTGATTTCAAAATGTTTCATCATTTGTGCTCACACTCTCACATTTTTCTGGCTACGCGCCTGATTAGACGTTTCACGGAACAATGACGTACTGGACAGCGGGGTGTTTTGGCCGATAATCTAACAAAACACCGACTACTGCAAGTCTCAGTCAGATTCCAAGTTACACTGTAATATATTTCATTAACGATAAACAGGAATAGTTGTGACCGCTTTTCATTAAATATCCGCTACTTTTGTAATAGTGAGTGAGTGAGTATGGTTTTACGCCGCTTTTAGCAATATTCCAGCAACATCACGGCGGGGGACACCAGAAACTTTTGTAATAATGTATGATGACTGAAATGTGTACAAACTGAGAATAGTGATGAAATGTAAATCTAGATGACTGGTGATCTTTATATTTATTGTGCACAAAATTTTACATAATGGAAAGTAGAAGACGTTTTAATGTACTCTGATTTAAATTGTTATGCCAGCTTCAATGGCAATGGGTCTTATTTAGGGGTCGGACGTTCTTTCACTTGATTGGTGTGCCTGGTAATTCTATGGACGCATAATCAACGAGCAACGTCACCCTACCTATAGCTCTTAGACTGTCATTTTCCCCCAAGGCGTCTTAAATTTTTCACTGCCGTTTCTCCCTTTGATCACAATGACAATACTTTATTACCCCGAGGGGAATTCTTTTTACATTTGAAAGTGATCACATCATTAAATATTAAAAATGGCATAAAGGTTAAGAAAACACAAAACAGACAGACAAAGTTAACAGTCATTTAAAAGTCGAATACTTGCTGGAATAAAATGATTTTGAACTCTTTTTGTTTTAAAACGTGGCATTTGGTATCAGCGGCCTGAAGGTAAAATATTGTATTCAGAAAATAAAACGTGGCTGGGATCAGATAAGAATCTCTCAGCGAGGTTAGGAACACGGGAATTAAAAAGAGATGGTAAATCCGAAACAGCCACCCCAGAGATTTTACTTACAATTAAAAAGGTTTTGTTGAGATTGAAGGTTTGCTTTTGACATTAATAATTTCAACAAAACAACGACAAAAAAACAGCATCACCTTTTGATGTTAAAAGATATCAGTTTGCGCATAAAATGCAATCTTTGCTGACATTTCCTAAAAATACTTAACTCACTGAACCGGAAGAAAACGTCCGGCAGTAGTCAAGTCTGGGTATTGTCTTGCATCCATGTTTCATATTAAGAACATGTTGTAGGTACCTGCGAAAAATGTTGGAATGACTACAACTGTAAATATGGATGCTGCAACTGGGAGTGTTGTGCAGGTTACAATTAGTAAGTATTACCGAAAAAGATTCATCTGTCTGTTTAAAAGGTGTCACCTATCGTATGCTTAAAGCTACGTGAGATTAGTAAGGTTCTGCATGAAGGTTCATACGTATATTGAAATATCCACTGTCTGAGGTCAAAGGTTGACTGACGAGATAAATAGATACATAGAAAGATAGAGAAGTGCTGTTGTAGCATATATACTGACCAGCAAAACAAACGCAATTCAAGAAATCAAAATAATTGTGTTAGTGTATCAAATCCAAACTCATGATGAAAAAGCATAATTTTCATGAATTCTGAGTTGCGTTTTATTGCTGGTCAGTATATATATATATATAGATAGATAGATAGATATAAACAAGTGATTTCTGCAGGTGTATAAGCAATCAATATATAAAATATGAGTCCAGATATTTCTTCTTGTCAAATCTCCTTTATATCTGCACAAGATCTTTGGCCGTTCAACGGCTCTTCAGGTGTACAATGAAAGCTGAGTGTCGTCATAGGCGACACATAACGGTAATAGCTATGTCGTCATCATGCGTATGACGTTAAGCAGTTAGTGACAATAGCGGGAGACGTAAAACGTAGTCATGGGTGACAGTAAGGTTACGTTTGTGACGTCATCGTGTTTTTGACGTCATAGTTAGAAACAATAGTGGTGGACGTGTATGCATTATGGTTTCAGTGCACAAATACATACTGAGTTACATTGAGAAAGTTACAAAATTATACTTTTGTATATTTTATACATAGATATATATATAGATATATATAACACTACTGTATCTATCTATCTATCTATCTATGTTTATAATTCGGTGACCTCATATGATCTCATATGCTATCCGTAAAAGCTGTTTTCACCATAATCTGTTAAATTGTCTCCCTTCTATTTTCAGCTACGTGTATCTGGGTGTGGGCGTGACGTTTGGCGTAGTTACCATCATCGGGGTCGTTGTTATCATCGCATGCTTGTTGAAGAAGAATACCAGACCTGGTCGTGTGATCGCTGCCACTCGACCTGCCCCGGGTCTGGCGGTACACTCTCATTTCACAGCCACAAGTAAGTGTGAGCATGGCGAGATCTAATGGTGAATAGTAACAAAAGTGCATACGCGATTGCATCACTCTACGCAACTGGGATACGATGACATGTGTCAACCAAGTCAGAGAGCCTGACCACCCGATCCCGGTCAGAGATTGAAGTATTTAATGTCAGTGAATCGGCCTCTCTCTATATGTATTTATGTCTGCCCCCGAAGGGTCGGGAGACATATTGTTTTGGGTAGGGAGACATATTGTTTTGGGTTGAGTGTCCGTCGGCGTTGGCGTTCCAATTGTTTCCGGAACATAGCTCTAAAACTTGATCAATCTTCACCAAATTTGCTATACTGCCTCTCCATATCATGTAGATGTGCCTTTGGGGGGTTTCAGGGATTTTTTTCAATTTGGACTTTGTCTTTTTGAAGGGTAAAGTTCGTTTCCGGAGCATAATTCTGAAACTAATTGACCCATCTTCACCAAATCTGCTATACTGCCTCTCCATATCATGTACATGAGCCGTTTGGGGGTTTGAGTAATTTTTTTTTTCAATTTCATTTTTATCTGTTTTCATTGCAACAATTTTGACATTGTCATTTGAAGGGTAAAGTTCGTTTCCGGAGCATAATTCTGAAACTAATTGACCCATCTTCACCAAATCTGCTATACTGCCTCTCCATATCATGTAGATGAGCCGTTTGGGGGTTTGAGTTATTATTTTTTTCAATTTCATTATTTTTCTGTTTTTATGGCAATAATTTGGACTTTGTCTTTTTGAAGGGTAAAGTTCGTTTCCGGAGCATAATTCTGAACTAATTGACCCATCTTCACCAAATCTGCTATACTGCCTCTCCAAAACGTGTAGATGTGCATTTTCTTTCAATTTTTTTAATTTTCTGTTTCAATGGCAACAATTTGGACTTTGTCTTTTTGAAGGGTAAAGTTCGTTTCCGGAGCATAATTCTGAACTAATTGACCCATCTTCACCAAATCTGCTATACTGCCTCTCCATATCATGTAGATGAGCCGTTTGGGGGTTTGAGATATTTTTTTTTCAATTTCATTTTTATCTGTTTTCATTGCAACAATTTTGACATTGTCATTTGAAGGGTAAAGTTCGTTTCCGGAGCATAATTCTGAAACTAATTGACCCATCTTCACCAAATCTGCTATACTGCCTCTCCATATCATGTAGATGAGCCGTTTGGGGGTTTGAGTTATTATTTTTTTTCAATTTCATTATTTTTCTATTTTTATGGCAATAATTTGGACTTTGTCATTTGAAGGGTAAAGTTCGTTTCCGGAGCATAATTCTGAAACTAATTGACCCATCTTCACCAAATCTGCTATACTGCCTCTCCATATCATGTAGATGAGCCGTTTGGGGATTTGAGTTATTATTTTTTTCAATTTCATTATTTTTCTGTTTTTATGGCAACAATTTGGACTTTGTCTTTTTGAAGGGTAAAGTTCGTTTCCGGAGCATAATTCTGAACTAATTGACCCTTCTTCACCAAATTTGCTATACTGCCTCTCCAAAACGTGTAGATGTGCATTTTCTTTCAATTTTTTTAATTTTCTGTTTCAATGGCATCAAATTTGGACTTGGTCATTTTGAAGGGTAGGGTTTGTGTTCGGCGCATAACTCTAAAACCACTTCACCCATCTTCACCAAATTTTGTATACTTAATACATACATACGTACGTACATACATACATACATACATACATACATACATACATACATACATACATACATACATACATACATACATACATACATACATACATACATACATACATACATACATACATACATACATACATACATATATAGCGCCGATATCCAGCTCAACTGCTCAAAGGCGCTTTGTTTTTCCCTCGATCACTGGATGTCAATCTCAACGGCACGTCGTATTATCAATCTCAACTCCCTGGGGAGTACGCTGAGACGCATCTACTATAGAGCACCATGAATTTTCTCTGTATATATTGCAAAACATGCTCAGAGATTTTGAAATTGAAGGTCTTTACGTTGAATTGGGTGAAGGGGGAGACATCTATTTTTACGAGTAAAAACACTTTCTAGTTAAGATTGAGTTAAGAGAAACATAACATAGATCGGTTTAACACATATGTATTTTTTTCAGACAGCAGTGGACAAACTCAGAGTAGCTCGTTCGTATACCCCGCACCGCAAGGATCCCCCGGTTACGACCCTTACTCCGCCTACCCACCTCCAGGGGCTGCATCCCCACCCCCTGATTACAGCACCCACCCTCCTACCTACCAGGAAAAATCATAAACTGGTACAAACACTAGGGGATATCTCAGCGGAACTAATTGTCATCACGTTAAAAGACAATAAATTATCACAATATTCAATCTAAGCGTAGTACCACATAGCTTGAATCTTGAGTGTGGTGTTAAACAACAGACAAACAGGCATAAATACCGTCTGTTGTATGTATCCTAAAATACATATAAAGGTTCATTGTCTCACATGTATCTGCTGTCCGTTTACCTGCTTATAGTTATGAGTTCTTATGTTGCTATTGATGGTTATTTTCATATCATTCAGAATATCCACGGCTGACCCCTATGTCAACCTTATGGTATTTTGTTATGAAAAATGTTATTTAATAACTTTTCATCATGTCCAATACCATGAACTAAAGTGTATCTATTAGAAAGGTGAATGCAATACACTTTTACTATGTTTAGAAAACTATCAGTGGAAAGTTTTTGTTTCTACCTGGCTGAAATCGATCGCTCATTACAGGTTACTCAACACCAAATGTTTTCCCATAGACGGTCAAAACACTTATTTTCCTAAAACTTTATTTTTCAAAATATTTTTTCATTACATTTCTAGTTTTTTAGTTAACCAAGTGTAATTTACTCTTATTTCGTTTAACACCATTGTCACATTTTTAATAACCCTCAAAAAGAGAGGTAACTGCCTCAGGGCATGCCGCTTTAGGCCATGTGCTTGCACGGTAAACAACAACCATGAGAATGTCCAAAGTAGTGGTGAGCATAATTATTGTAGTTTTCATATTTCATGAATTGTAATTTGTTAAAGTAACTTTAATTTATTTTTTCATGTAAGTCATGGTACTTTTTGCGTAGGAATTTTGCTTTATTTGGTAATTTTGTGGCAAGTTGTAAGTTGGTCAAAATTATGTGAATACATGTTTTCATGGCATAAGGTTAACATTTTCTCAGTGCTTTTGAAGAAGTTTTCATGCTTTTAATGTTTTATTGTATTTCAAATGTGCTTAGGAGCATATAAGAATATTTTGTGCTTTTGTCTTTTGAATGAGTTTGGGAAGTGGCAGTACAGCCATTTGTTCATTTAGCAAGTTAAATTCTGTTAATGGCTTATTATTTCCTAAAACTTATTTAGTTCTTCTACTATTTTCAGTTAATCTACTGTAAAAGGCAACATGAACTGAATATGAATATTAGAATTAGAATTGGAAATGGATGGACATGTTGAACAGATGGACATTGAATAAAGTGATACATACAATACACAAGAATCATGTTGTTCGCAACATAGCATTGACACTACTGGACATTCACATTACTGGACATTTGCTTTATTGGACATTGCTATTTCTGGATATTGGAGAACAAGTGGACTTTGAAAGAAATTGTAAGAACTTAGAAATTAGAAGGAATTGGAATCAAGAATGCTGACCAGAAAAGGTTTATGTACTGCTCTAGAAATCAAGGGTGAAAGGGTACAGTAAATTTTCCATCAACTTGAAAGAGACTATCATCATATCAACTTAGTTATTGTTACAGGGGTTTTAACTAAGTTTACTGTTGAGGAAGTTCGCTATGCTGCTAGAGAAGAATACATACAGTTATTAGAAGAGCCAGCGTTGTCATATTTTAAGGAAGAAGTAGGGACACAAGATAAGATTCTGTTGAGAATCAAGACAACTATAGAGCAGTATTTATTGGAACAAAGAGCAAGTCAGGCTATGAGTGAGCATTCTGGGAAAACAATTTTAGCAAGAAGTCACTATCTGTTAATAGTGGAAAATCGTCACGTGCAAGTAAAGTTTCCTCAGCTATGTTACATGAGAAACAGAAGCAAGCAGAACTTGAAGCTAGGAAAAGGGCTCTTAAAGAGAAACAAAGGATTGAACAGGCTAAATTAGACATTCAGATTAAAGAGGAGGAGTTAGAGCTACAGACACAAAGTGAGGTTTGTCAAGCTAAATCAAGAGTATTGAATGACTTTGAAAATGATCAGGATAGTGTGGGTGGTGAGGTGAAATTGGGTTTTACGTCGTACTTGAGAATATTTCGCTCATATGACGACGTGGATAGTGTGGGACCTGAAGATACAACTTCAAGTAGGAAAGAAACTGACAATATTGACCCATTCGTGACCAACTCGTGTTATTCCGGGACAAGCCGAATAGCGACTCGTGCCCCTCTGGAAGGATTTCATATTGGCGCATGAACGTCAGAACTACTTTAAACAAGAACGATAACTCTATCCCTGTTTGATTCCAATGTTTCTAAAAATCACCGAAGCACATGTACATTGTATTGCTAGGTTGTTGTTTTTGGGTTTTTTCAATTATTTATTTTAAAGAATTAAACCTCTTTGATACAACTAAAAGAAGGAGAAAAACATATTTGTTAAATACATATTCTAATGTAATTATTACCAGCTGTTCACCTTATATTTCCAATTATGTTAATTAATAGGGTTCTTAATAGGGTTTAATCATCACAAATGGGATTTGTTTTATTGAATATACAAATAAAATAAACAAAATTCAGCTACATTAAGTCCCAAAGCAGATACTCAAAAATGACTTTAAAATATTTCTCAAACTGAACATTCGTGTAACCTTGCTGTCACACCCCTGGCGGAATTTTAAATGAATTCGCCGAAAAAAATATGAATGACCAAAAAACAGTCAGACTAAAATATCCTCAGAGATATGAAATATAAGCCCAATGTTAAAGATTCAGGTTGATTAGTTACATACAAATACGATATTATTGTTTTGAAACTGGTAGCGATTATAATTACAATTCCTAAAATTGGTCAAAGCGCACGTACAATCTGCGTAACAAGCCCGCAAGATCGTCAGAAATACACTCAGTTGGACCCATGAGAGCTGTTATGTCAACAAATGCACGTGTGTGTATTTGAATCTCTCACCGTCAATCGTGTGATTCTTATTAAAAACTTCACAAAAGGCAGCAAAATCCTTTTAGCTACGTTCTTTGTACTTTCAATATGACGATATATATTTTTCATGATTTTTTAAACAATGACATAATGCCATAAACGTTTTAAGTACTCGGGATTATTTTATCAAAGCACCGCGCTCATTTACGCGCGTTCTGATTGGTTTGTCGTATTTTCGCACATAACAAGTATCGAGTGGGTGACGAGTCTTCTTGGAGGTTACGGAAAGGGGCGAGTGGTGACGAATGAATATTGACCCTCCATTGAAATCTGAGCCAGTTATAGAAACTAAGCCAGTCTACAGTCCTGAAGACACAGGTTTGAATACAAGAAATTCCTCTTTTCTTCCATCTAGAAGTTATAGTTATCCACAAGATGTTTTCATGTCAGTAGTTTAACAACTTAGGAAGCCAGTACCGGACATCCAGAAATTTAGTGGAAATCCCCTAGAATACCAGAAGTTTATGCGTCAGTTTCGAACCAAGATAGTCACTAACTCTAGCTCCAAAGATGAACTCATGTGCTACTTAGAGCAGTTCACAATAGGGGAGGCTCATCAAGTTGTTGGAAGCTTCAGCTACTTAGATGCAAGAGATGGTTGTCATGCTGCAATGGGTGAACTTGAGTCTAGGTATGGCAACCAAGAGATAATTGCTAGCACTTTGATTAAGAAAGCTATGTGTTGGCCGAACATCAAACCGGACAATGTTAAAGCTTTGGATGAATATTCTGTGTTCTTGAATGAGTGTCAGAATGATGTTAGGCTACATGCAGTTAAGGTTCTAGAATACCCAGACATTCGCAAGTTAGCCATGAAACTTCCATTTCACTGTCAAGAAATATGGAGAAGTATTGTCATAAACCTCCGTCAATCCAGAAGGGGTGTTGAATTTTCTGACCATGTTCACCTTGTATGACTGACTCACTGACTGAGTTTGGTTTTACGCCGCTTTTAGCAATATTCCACCAACATCACGGCGGGGGACACCAGAAATGGGCTTCACACATTGTGCCCATGTGGGGATTCGAACCCGGGTCTTCGGCGTGACGAGCCAACGCTTTAACCATTAGGCTACCCCACCGCCCCCACTTTGTACGAACTTAAGCACTAAAGGCCACAGACCCGATGTATGTAAAGGAAGACATGAAACCTGACATCAAGTCGCAGCCGCCTTACAGAAAACCATCAGCTCCCAGACCGATTGTGACATTTGGTACTGAACTGGTAAAGACAAACACGTTTGAAAATAAACCCATGACTTTCTACAGTCTCAGGCCTCAGATCAATGGTACCAAGACATGTGTCTACTGTTACAAGTCTGGGCCTAGATTTTCGAAGCTGTCTTAGCGCTAAGATAGTCGTAAGTGCCATACATTACCATTAACTTACGACTATCTTAGCGCTAAGAGAGCTTCGAAAATCTAGGCCCTGGACATCTCGTAGATTCTGCCAAGTGTTAGCCTCCAAACCTAACATAGAACGTATTGACTTCCTGAAATCTATGGGCCTCTGTTTTCACTGTTTCACCCGAGGACATCGAAGCAACGAGTGCAGCAAGAATGTCAAGTGTCAGCGATGTGATGGCAAGCACGCAACTCACCTGAACATTGACCACAACACAAGTTTGAAGACCGTAAGTGCTTGTACAGGGCAAGCTAATGAAGTGAGTGTACTCTTACTGTTGTACCTGTCCAGGTTTCATTCAGAGACTCTTTGAAAATCGTATCTACATATGCCTTCTTAGACCCAGGAAGTACAGTTTCCTTTTGTTCGGAAGCTCTCATGAACAAACTTGGATCTTGGAAAAAAAATTTTTTTTAAAATTAAAAAAACATTTTAAAAAAAAAAAAAATTAAAAAAAAACAAACTTGGATCTAATGGAAAATCAAGAAAAGGTAGTAGAAATCACCATAGATACATTAGGAGAGCCACATATCTCTACCGTTCATGCCATCTCTGGTCTTAAAGTCCACGACATGGATTTAAAGAATACTGTTGATCTTCCCACAGTATACACAAGAAGTAGGATTCCAGTTACAAGTCAACATATTCCAAAGGACTCTGGCTTTGCAAAATGGTCTCACCTTGAAGTACCAAGACTGGTATCAGGAGTTGACCTACTCATCGGTGGAAATGTCCCAGACGCCTACTCTCCTCTTGAAGCTAAAGTTGGTCCTCCGAGTAGCCCACATACTACCAGAACGCGATTAGGCTGGATCCTCTGGAATGTAGTCCGACCTGCAAGCTGTAAAACCAAGACTGAGAATCATCTCTCCATGAGAACTGAAATGCTCAGTGTGAAGACCATAGAAGAAAGTGCTGCCTGGGACACACTGGTTAGCAAAAGCATTAACTTGGATTTTCCTGAAAGATCTATCGACGATAAAGCCGAATTATCCCAAGAAGACAAACTGTTTCTGAGCAAAGTGAATGAATCTACAAGCTATCGAGATGGAAATTATTACATTTATCTACCATTTAGAGACTCTGGCCAACAACAGTGCTCAAGTTCGAAAGCGCCTTGACAGTTTGAAGAAAAGATTTCTGAAAGATGACAAGTTCAAAGAAGATTATCTGACTTTCATGAAGGACATACTGTCCAAGAATAATGCTGAAAAGGTCCCGATTGAAGAAGTAGATGGTGAGGCAGGACATGTATGGTTCATTCCTCATCACGTTGTTTATCATCCACGTAAACCCGTTTGTGAAACGGGGCCCTTGCCCACTAACACGCTTGACATGACTGGATTAGAACAAGAGTGGCATGTCTCAAAAGAAAAATTAGAAGACTCAGCACCCGTCAATGTGGCCTAAGCTTGTTTTTGATCTCCAGGCGGAATGGCGGGTAGTACCAATGGCAACTATACACAAATTAATCAACAGTATTCAATCAGGATTACAGAGTTAATTTGACAGACATTTATTGTAATTAAACCTTCACTATCATTTTGTCAATTCTATACATTTTGTCGAAGGTATACACGTAGAACATAACTAACATTCTGTGTATGATATCAGTATAGAAGTCATTGCATGTTTGGTGGTACCTATTACACATCTGAATCATGTCCTCACAATCTGCGGAAAACAATTAATCAGTATATGGAAAAAACTAGCTTCAACAATGAAATTATTGGTGGATGCTTACAAACAGAACTACACATCGGGGGGGTAAATTAGTATATATGGGCAACATTAGTCAAGATAAGCATGCAGTAAATGAATTAACAGCTGATTTGATCGCTTTGATCAAAGCTTTTTAACACAGCTCGTCCAGGGTCCAGTCCCGATGTGCGTAACGAAAACCAAGCCCGCCTGTATAAAAGAATGTCCCCATTTACGAAACAGTGGCTTTTTATAGTCCACTAGTAACAAGGTGCTGTCACGCGTTCTCTATTCATGTCTGAAAAGGGAGGTAACTGCCTCGATAGTTTATTCCCTTTAGGGGCCTTGTTTGTTTCTTGTTTAACGTCGCACTCAGCAATATTCCAGCTATATGGCGGCGGTCTATAAATAATCGAGTCTGGACCAGACAATCCAGTTATCAACAGCATGAGAATCGTTCTACCCGACTGGGTTACGATTTAAGGGATCTTACCGAAACATTTGTACCATATCTTCTGCACCACAGTATCTGGTGAATGTGACTTGCTCACAATTTGTGTAACTGCTTTACTGGAAACGTGATAGGTCAACATGCTCTATATACCATAGACAGTTAAAGTGGCTTCCGAAAAAACAATTATCACGAATAGTGTGTCACTGGATATATCATCACCATTGGCATTTCAACTGTATAACAGTCTTTTGTGTCAATAATTGGATTGTCTGATCCGGACACGATTGTTTACACACCACCATCCTATAACTGTGAAACTGCTGAAACAAATGCATATTCATGATATAGTCAAAATCATTCGGTCGACTCTGCTTTTAGCAGAGTTATCTTAATGATATGGAAATGGTTTTGTCCCTTCTATTTTGTATAATAAAACGGTTATTTCAAAGTGTTGTAAAATCGACCAAGATCGCAACAGCCACTACCAAAAAAGTCATGATCAGCTTCAATTCCAATTAATTCTTTCTTTGCTTCAGACTCTACCACATAGTACTACATGTCCTGTTACAAAGGTGTTTGGGCTCAGTTTGTTTGTGTTACAAATGCACGAAGAAAAAAGCACATTAGTCTCTTTTTTGTATTACTTTTTTACGGATCCGCCGACCCGACATGTGAAGAAAATTGTTTTACATTTATTTATTTTTTGCCATTAAATGCCGCTGACCTGATATAAATAAATAAAAAATAGCAAATTATACCTTCCAAATATTCCCATGAACCATTTTATATTATACAAAAGTAATCACACAAATCGTCAGAACTCATAACACCACGACAGACTCAAGTGTGCAAATAATATCTCCATATTCCCTCTTATTTCTTTCCTCCCTACCGACCTAATATTTCTTTAAAAAAATTAGTAAACCAAGTAATTAATAAAGGCCTTATGGAAAAAATACAAAAACAACTGCAACCTCGTCTTTGAATGGCATTTAGAAGTGATACACATGAGGAAGAGAGATTTTGTTTGGTTTGGTTAGGGGGTTTTTTGGTTTGGTTTGATTGGTTGTTTTTGGGGTTTTTTTGTTGTTTTTGGTTTGGTTTGGGGGCGGGGTGTTATGGATGTCAACTTCTTTATTATGAGGAACACAACGTTTCGGAGTATACCTTTGCTCCTTTATCAGGTGAATGAAGGGTATGAGGCAGGGAGCATATATGTACATGTTAGAACAACAAATAACAAATATGCAGGCCAAACAATGATACACATGGAAGCCACATGGAAGCCAGCACTTAAAGAAAATCACGATAACAAGGAAAAAGATAATAAATAAATATGTCCTATGGCACAGATTTTGACAAGCATTTGTGGTTGGATTACAAGTGTAATTAGACAAAAGATATATAACTGGAAATGATAAAATTAGAATGAATGACTAGATAAACAAACATGCTTTTCTGTGTAAAGACCAACCTTAATCTCACACACGATTCCGGGTTTGAAACGTAAGATAACCTTTCAACCAGCAATCATTATTAAGGAAGTTGAATGGCAGAATGAGATAAATTACGACCCTAGCTTTAGATAAGAAGCAAAGATAGGAGAGATCGATATACATTATATCACACGACTGTTGGCGTCGCGAGCAGACCTACAAGAAGCAGTACAGGTGTTAGTTTCAAGTTTTACACAGCTCAGTTGGTCTGCATTCGGTGTAATATCTTTGTCTCTAGCCATTGACGTAAATGAAGAAATGTAAATTGTTCATCTGAATAATGTTTGGCCTCCAAGTCGCAGATGACGTCACGAGACACCGCTGAATGTAAAACATGACAGGAAGGACATCGTGTTTTTTAGTCGTTGTTTTACTGAACTTTCAGGGTAAGTGCAAACTTCAGACTACCTTGTTAGATATCCAATTTATTCTATTAACACTCCTTGTAACAGTCACCTATCTGATAAATAAATTTCAGTGTATATTAGTGTGTGTATATATTTTTTACCCCCAAACAAATACGTGAATGCTTAATAACATGAAAATATATAGTCGAACCCCAATGTCTCGAACTCGGTTGAGACGAAACCTCGGTTATGTCGAACTAATCTCTCGGTACCTGCCGATTTCCTGATATTAATATTTTTACCCCGATGTCTCTAACTAGATGTGTCGAATTCCCGGTTGTGTCGAACTCATTTTAGAGTCACCTAAACCCTATTAATAATTTATTATAAGTACAAATTTACCCTTTTGTCTCGAACTGTCAAAGTTGGTTCTTGCAACTGAAAACTTCATGCTCATAAACGTGCTACCAAAATATCAAAGGTGAGAATTAACGGATTGAACAAGTGGCATCTATACCCACATTGTCGTCATACTTTCCAATTGGTTAATATGTTGTATACTAGCCACATAAAGAAACTGTGCATTGTCAAACTATTATCCCAATTGATAAGTACGATAACAATGTCAAAGGTACATGTAATCTTTAATGGAGGGATCATGAGACCATAACAAGTCGGGAGAATTTCAATTGAAAAGTCAATCACAATGACGTCACGAGTCCACAAGCGGGACAGGAGTCAAACGACCATGTCACAAGCTCAATAACGGGTATGTCCACAATCGGCATTGAGAACAGCAGTGCATCGACGACGCATATAGCCTATCAAACGTGCAAGGAAGGCTTGTGGGATGTCAAGCCAGATTCTCTCAAGTTCTGTTGCAAGGTCAAGGACGTTATCTGGCGGATGAGGAAGACGGCGTAGACGTCGATCCATCTCGTCCCAAACATGCTCTATCGGGGAGAGATCCGGTGAATTTGCAGGCCAAGGCAGTAAGTCAAGGTTGTGGTGTTGCAAGAAATCCATAGCAACCCTTGCCGTATGAGGGCGGGCATTGTCCTGTTGGAATGTTAACCTAGGGCCATGACGTTGCAGAAAAAGGAATTGCTACAGGTCGAAGAATCTGATCCCTGTAGCCCACACCAGTTAAGTTGCCCTGAACAATCACCAAAGGAGTTCTTTGGCGTGCTGTTAATCCACCCCAAATCATCACGGAACCATCACCAAAGATTCCTCTCCAAAACACAGGCCTGTGCATAACGTTCTCCCACGCGTCTATAGGCACGTTGACGTCCATCACTATGGGAAATGTTAAAAACAACATTTCTCCACCAAAACAAGGGTCTGCGGACATGATTTCGGCACCACATTCGGCGAGCTTGTCGATGACGTTGTGTCAGGATAGGCCGTATGGCGGGACGTCGTGGTCTGATCCCGTGATGACGTAAACGTTGTCGAACTGTGTTGGGGTGGATACGGCGAAGTCCTGGGATGGTTCGGGCAGTCATCACTGCAGTCTGAAACCTGTGGCGAAGATGGGTCACCCTTATCCATCTGTCCTGTCTTGGCGTTGTTACACGTGAACGTCCAGAACGTGGCCGATCGATGACGTCATTTGTGTTCTGGTAGCGTCTCACCAGTGTAGAAATGGTGTTCCGGTGGCAGTGGAAATGTGCAGCCACTTGTCGTTGAGACATTCCCCCACGGACCATCCCAATGGCTTCATGACGTTGTGCAGACGTGAGCCTTGGCATGCTATGCGTTTCAATAGCCGTTTAATTTTTTGAACGATCGCAAGGGCAGGGGTTGAGCTTTCCAAAGTGACAGTATTGTGTGGTATTCATTTGTTCTGTTTCTCTTTCCCGGAATGCACGTGCAACAACGTATTGCACGTCTCAAGGACGAACCCACTGACGTTACGGAACGTGGCACGTGCATGCATGTTGTATACATGTCACTAATCTCTGAGTTTAAATCCTTATGTGTCTACAGAGGTTTGATAAATTTAGATTTTAAATTTTTGTATACACAGTTTCTTTATGTACCTAGTATATATGACACATACTGAAAATATTTTCAATGCAAAATAGATGATAAAAAGGTTGAGGTTCTTGTCAATGTTTTCGTGTCAAATATGACAAATCCAAATACACACATTTTGAGCTACCTTTTGCGTTTGTTCCGCGTTTGTACGATAAGTCATTATCCGGTATTTGTGCCTCTTGTTAAGGAGACGTGTCAGTGTGATGTGTTTAGTAACTTTAAAGAGACACGGGTGACCCAGTCATCTTAGGCACCGCAATAAATAGTAAGAGTTGTGTCCCTTGGGCTCCCATGGAACCTCTGATCATGGATCGAATCCCGGATGAAATTTCTAGGTTTGTGACGCACCGTGTAACTGGAATACTGTTCAAAGCGACCGTTAACCCACTCAGTTTAACATCAGTTGTCTTGTTATAGGTGTTCGGGGTGAGACGTGCATTGCCTTGAACTCCGCTGGGGATGCCAGGCACTTTGACTGCGACACCGGGTGTTGTGGAGAGGGTGAAGATGCAGACTGTTGTATGAGGTAAATTGACCTGCAGTGCAGCAAGTGGATGATTGAGATCATTTTGATACAGCTTTGAGTGAGTGAGTGAGATTAGGTTTACGAAGCATTTACCAATATTCCAAGGGGGAGAGCAAGTTACTGCAAACATCAAACCAACAGTAGTTTTGACTTAACATTTGGTACACATCATTTTTTGCCAAATAGTCCATTCTTGCCTCTGACTTGGGTGTAGTGATTTGAATGCATACATGTTTTAACGGCATATATCTCTAAATCCATCATGCTCCTGCCGCCAATCCTATGAAGACACATTGCATTAGTTCTTCATCTGTCCAAATCATGTTACCATAAGATGTAAACATTCAATCATACATTTGATGGGTAAATAAGATGTAATATACACAGGTTGCTTGCTCTCTTATCATGCTGTATATTATCTCATATTTGTTGTATTTATGTATAACTGTAATTAAACATTATTCACGTAAGCTTGTTTACTAATCCATAATCACTTTTGGTGAATGAAATATGATTCAGATATCCATGGGCCAAGTATACCCCTTACAGAGATGCCAACCCATATGACAAATTTGTTACGAAAAAAAACCTCCAAAAAACGCGACTACGATATCAGTGAAAATATACGAATTTTGTAAAAATAAAGACATTAAATTAGATTTAAAAATAGGACGTACACAATTAATTTCAACCACATTGTATTCAGTATCCAGCTATAGTTTGGCATGAAATGCATGTGGACCCGTTTTTTTGTAAATATCTCTTCATCCAATGACCCAATCGATCGAGGTTGTCTGACAAAACATCCACTTGCACAGTTTGAGATCGATTGGGTCACAGAGATGAAAAGATATTACAAAACCGAAGTTAGATTCACATGACCCAACACTGCATTTCCCAAGCAAGCTAAAGGGATACTACTACTACTGATTTTGGTGAGTACAATGTTAATAACAAGTTCTTAGAATACCTATATATTTTTATATTAAATATGAAAATCCTTTCGAAAATTAATACTAATTTTGGTCAAAAAATACTAATTTTTGCATCAGTTTTTGGCCAAAATACTAACTTGGCTAAGTTAGGGTTGGCATCTCTGCCTTTGTCAAACATGTCTTCTGAATTTAGAATAAGGAACTATAGTGGAATGATAGATGACACAGCAAAGTGTGGCCTGTCTTTGGCGTGACGAGCGGACGCTTTAACCACTAAGCTGTCCAACCTGGGCCACAGAGTTCATCCCGCTTTTTGGAAGTTGTTGTCGTCGTCGAATTGTCCATGATATCCCAAAGGTGCTGTATGGGATTACGGTCTGGAGAGCGACCTTCAGAAAGTTTTGCACGACGAGGCCTGGGGGGCATGGTCACCCTTGGTCTGCTATTCGTGGCCTTTCTGTTGTCCGACCTGTTATTCTGAATCGCTGGTTCAAGTTGCCCACAGTATTACGGGAGTAGTTCAATGTTCTTGTGCATGGGTCTGTGGTGTCTTTATCAGCAGCATTCCTACGACCCTCTCACGCTGATTTTGTGTTAACCCTCTCACTTAACCTTGGCATTTCTTGTGGTTTTTCTTAATAATGCATCTCTCACGTGTAAACTGAACAGTTTTTATACCGTTTGCGCATGTGCAATTTCAATACACGTAAATAACGTGTTTTCTGAGAGAAAAATCACATTTTCAAAACACCTGTGTGGGGTTTGAGACTTGGATTTGGCTTTGCGTTTATTCTAATTTAAAGTATCTTCTTTCAGCAATTTAATTTTGTTTTACTTGCCAAATTTTGGGGTTTTTGTGACGTTAGTTTACATGAGTATTTTCAAATGCTTTGTAATGACCGATAATGATCATAGGTTCTGTCCCAGAATAGGCCTCACAAAACCCTTCCTATCACCCAGTTTCAACCAAAATCACAATGCATTTATTACCTGGGTCACTTCAGGGTAGCCTAGTTGCTAAAGCGTTCGCCCATCCCGCTGAAGATCCTGGTTCGATTCCCCACTTGGGTACAGTGTGTGAAGCCATTTCCTGGTGTCCCCCGTCGTGGTATTGTTAGAATCAACGTAAAACCAAACTCACTAACTCACTCACTTCAGATATTTAATAATCCAGTTAATCCAGAAGACGATTCATGTGACACCGTTTGGTTTAACACAATTCCGGGTTTACGAATCGTTATTACAAAGCAATGGTGTTGGTATTTATGTATAGTGATGTTCCTCGCCGGCCAGACAGTGCGGTGTCCGGATTAAAGAGGTTTCACTGTATCTATTTTCTGGGGGTTGTCGGTGTGATAACTAAACAGAGACAGCCCCATTAGGGTTTTTATAATCGGCTCCAGTTTAAACATGGGCGGTGGGGTAGCCCAGTGGTTAAAGCGTTCGCTCGTCACGCCGAAGACCCGGGTTCGATTCCCAACATGGGTACAATGTTTGAAGCCCATTTCTGGTGTGGGGCGGTGGGGTAGCCCAGTGGTTAAAGCGCCCGCTCGTCACGCCGAAGACCCGGGTTCGACTCCCAACATGGGTACAATGTGTGAAGCCCATTTCTGGTGTGGGGCGGTGGGATAGCCCAGTGGTTAAAGCGCCCGCTCGTCACGCCGAAGACCCGGGTTCGATTCCCCACATGGGTACAATGTGTGAAGCCCATTTCTGGTGTCCCCCGCCGTGATATTGCTGGAATATTGTTAACTGCGGCGTAACACTAAATTCACTCACTCATTTCTGGTGTTCCCTGCTGAAGTAATGCTAAAAGCCTAACAGACATACTCACTCACTCCAGGTTAACACCGTCGTTCCAAATCGGGTTATGTTGACCGTGTACTGCCTCACCAATATTTCCATCCAACATTTAGGTGAAATCACTCAGTACCTTAAGATTTAGTTATGTACACCTTAAACCATACACATCCTTCTTCTTAGTTCTACAGTTCGTTTGTTTGTAATGTAAGGCCTCACTCAGCAATATTCCAGATGTGTGACGAAGGCCTGTAAATAATCGAGTCTGGACCAGACAAACCAGTGATTTACATCATCAGCATCGATCTTCGCAATTTAGATTCGTTGACATGCTTCAACCAAGTCAGCGAGCCTGACCACCCGATCCCATTTGTCGCCTCTTATGACAAACATGCGTTGCTAAAGACCAAGCCTACCCGGATCTCCACTGGACCTTTATTACCATATGGGCAGACCAGATAGATTAAATCAAGAATGTGCAAGCGACAATTGTCCTATTACACAGCGACAAAAAGCGATCAACGAAATGCCTTTTATTCCTTGTAGAATGACTTCAGGTACAACTGACAGTCTACCAACCACGAGAACGATAGAATAAATTACCCTAACACAATAAAGTACAAGCTTGACAGCAGGATCTGACCAACAAACGTTATCAAAACGTTACAGGCCTGAAAACAATCACCGAAACACTGCAGTATGGTTCTCGTATTAAACATCTCCCTCTATTAATGTTTCGTATTTAGCCATCGTCAAACATGGGCGTTGTGATATACTGATATTATTTCGTTTCGCTATTGACCCCAAATTAATACTGTATGTTCCAAATGAGAATGCCCGTCTCGCTTTAACATGCAGTTGGTGTGAAAAACATGGTGTACCAGAGGTCTAGAGCCAGAATAAAGGGTAGCGAATGCCCACCCACAGGTGTTATAGACTTACACACCTTTGAGGCAATACAGGCTTATACTTCCGTTTGCGCTGCAATTTACAGAGTCGGGCACCTAAGCTGCAGCACACAAAGTCAGCCAGTCTAACCCACTCAGCCATCCATCGCAGTTTCCACTTGACTCTGAGGGTGTGGGTTCGAATCCCGGATGGGACTCAACCCACCAAAGTTCTAGAATCTGTACTATGCCTTAAAGTGTAATCCCAAATATAACATATGTTACGTTTGACCACTTTCTAAATGGCATTGTGTATTCAAGATAGCGTTATGTACGTAGCTGTGTAGTAGATCGTTTGCTTACTTTCACAGTGGTGTCGCCATCGCTGCGATTGCCTTTGGCTGCGTCGTCTTCATCTGCATCATTCTCGCCATCATTCTGGCCGTCGTGAAATACCAGAATCGGAAACACAGGACAGTGGACCCAGTGCTCGACAACACCCGGCGCCGGAACAAAGGTCGCTCAGCTCAAGTTAAGTCATCTCGTAATATTGTTATGGGCAGCCTAGGAACTAACGTACACATTAGGTGCTTGTGGATTTAATTATTTTATTTTCCAAATGTGATTTATAAGTCACAAACATCGTGTTTTGGGGGAGGTTTGTTCTGTTTTGAAAAATATTCTCCCCAAACATGTGTGTCCTTTCTATTAAAAGTCAGTTTATTGGCCTCCGTAAGCTGCAGAAAGAGAGTGAGTGAGTTCAATTTTACACCGCCTTTAGCAATATTCCAGCAATATCACAGCAGGGGGCCCCAGAAACGGGCTTCACATATTGCATCCATGTGAGGAATCAAACTCGGGACTTCAGCGTGACGAGCAAACGCTTTAACCACTAGGCTACCCCATCGCCCAAGCTTCGGAAAGACCAACACAGGTCCGTTTCAAATAGCAATCTATCCTAACTCTATGATGAAAAATAAAATTTACGATATTTTGATTGAAATTAGTGCCTATACAGTTGATATGAAGTGAACCCAGGTTTAACCCCAACATGTTCATTGTCCTGATTGTGGAAAATCTACAAAGAAATGGGTTTAACTTCTTCCACACCTCTAATCGCAGAGGGGCACTATTGGCCCAGCCGTCTGAAAATGCAGTTCACTATGCAGAGGTACGTCCGTTGGGTAACCTATGATTGTGTGTTCAAAATCCCGTTTGGTCGCGATTATCTTTCTAGGTTTGGGGGCGGTGGGGTAGCCTAGTGGTTAAAGCGTTGGCTCGTCACGCTGAAGACCCGGGTTCGATTCCCCACATGGGCACAATGTGTGAAGCCTATTTCTGGTGTCCCCCGCCGTCATAGTGCTGGAATATCGCTAAAAGCGGCGTAAAACTAAACTCAGTCAGTCAGTCTTTCTAGGTTTGTCAAAAACCATACCTCTGCTTGTTGGTGTCACCAAAGAGGTAAATGGCAAAGAGCTTATGCCTGGTGGTTAAAGCGTTCGCTCGTCACGCCGAAGGCCTGGGTTCGATTCCCCACAAGGGTTCAGTGTGTGAATCAAATTTCTGGTGTCCTCCGCCACTCACTCTCTCGAAGACCTGCGTCATTTCAGACATTTCTGTCACTGAAGCTGAAATGTCCTGATGTAACTGGAATACTGTTCTAAGCGACGTAAAACCCAACCCACTCTCCACTCATAAAAATAGCTGTTTGGATGTTTTGACCGCACACGAATGTTAAAAACGTATTAATGAAATAGAGAAATTTTAGATCTTTTCTTCATTCCTCATGATCTAATTATTCTTCTGCAGATCCTGCTCAAAGGTTACAAGTCGAGAACCCCGGTCCTCTGTCGGCAAGACTAACGCTTAAACCCCCACTGTTTCCAAGGCCAAAATTTGACAAGGATATCTCCCAACGAACAGTTCCTGGTGACGGCACGTGAATGCTACGCGACTCGGGATTGTATTTCAAATTGATGTCAAACATCACATTGCCTTTGTTTTTGTTTGTTGTTTAACATTCATCATTCGGCAATATTGTATCTATATTATATGTAAATAATCGAGTCTGGACCAGACAATCCAGTGATCAACAGCATGAGCATCGATCAGCGCAATTGGGAACCGATGACATGTGTCAACCAAGTCAGCGAGCCTGACCACCCGATCCCGTTAGTCGCCCCTAACGACAAGCATGGGTTACTGAAGAACAATTCTAACCCGGATCTTCACGGGTAATTCTGTCAGGAAGGTCAGGATGATCGAAGTGGATTTGTTTGTTGGAGGACCTTGTGGGTTCGTTCTGTTAACCCGTAGTAGATTGGTGGTTCGGGACCAATTCTAACCCGGGTCTCTGAATGGGTCCCTTTCCTTTGTCACTGACAGCTCTTATGTATTACATATACGATTGCATTTATTTGTTTGATGCTCAAGGTGTTGCTTTGGGAACCGTATATTTGCCTGTGTTCCATGTGCCTTGGTTTTAAATGGCCAGGTGGCCTAGTTTGCAGTGCCAGAAATGTACAGTTTGTGGTTCGAATTCGCCCTGTTATGTTTATGGGTTTGTCAGCACTTGGGCTGGCTAAAATTATCAATAATCGGAAATATCGAAAGATAATTCATGATTATCGATATAAAAATCGTGCTATCGATAATATCGTACATTAACTCTTGCGACATCATAATTATGGGGGCGGTGGGGTAGCCTAGTAGTTAAAGCGTTGGCTCGTCACGCTATAGACCCGGGTTCGAATCCCCACATGGGTACAATGTGTGAAGCCCATTTCTGGTGTCCCCCGCCGTGATGTTGCTGGAATATTGCTAAAAGCGGCGTAAAACCAAACTCAGTCAGTCAGTCATAGGTATGTTCACGGCGCTGTTTTGTTAAAAATACATGAAAAACATTTAACTACTCACCAGTGATGTAAAAATCATTCATTTCTTTCAGACATGTTTGCTCAAAGTTACGTCTCGATTATGTAAATACATGCACATGTATTTGGAAATATATTTATGGACTATGTGGTTTACTGAATTTTAATTATAATCATTGAAAATGTGTGTTTAGTTGTGTTTATCTTTAAACATGGATTTACATAAATGTGTTATGTGCAAGGAGCCTCTTTATGATAATTATCAATTCTGTATTGAAAGAGATACATGGGAGATGGTTTAGAAACGCTCCAGTGACTATTGGCGAAATACCGAGGAGGTTGAGATTGTCCGTACTTCTTTCTGTTCCCGCTTCATGCCCTTGAGTTTTCATTATGACGTGAAATATTAAAACGTTTTCTCATCTCCGTCTTGCCTGTTGCTGTGGAAATTTACTCCGTGGTGCGTAAAGAAAAACTTACAATAAATGAGAAAAATATATTACACTTGTCCTCGATCTGTCTTCATCTACAGAAACGTGTTTCCGAAGCAAAGGGGCAGTGGGGTAGCCTTGTGGTTAAAGCGTTCGCTCGTCACGCCGAAGACCCGGGTTCGATTCCCCACATGGGTAAATTGTGCAAAGCCTATTTCTGGTGTCCACAGTGATATTGCTGGAATTGCTAAAAGCGGCGTAAAACCATACTCACTCACTCCGAATCAATACGACTCGACCGCCGTCATAGTTATCACCAACTTTACCGAATACTACCAAGAGACTATTTTTATTAATTTCCTAAAATTACTCCTTTGCTGGTTGACGATTGAGATGTGAAACACATATACTCTTCCAAGAAAGATGGGGATATCATCTTAATATTTACGATGGAAAATACCGGGAGTCAATCAATGTTGATATGATAATAATGAATATTTTAGAGTGCATCACCACTTGCAGTTCCTTATAACCATAGTTGTTTGTACAGTAATCGCTCTTGAAAGATGACTGGTGTATGACGGGAAATTTGCATGAGTACGATTTTCATTTTTAAACAAAAGCACCGACTGGAAACAAACACTGACAACTGTGTGATGCAAGATCATTGTCAAAATCAATGGTCTACAGTGATTTATCGACCTTCTTGAAACCCGTCTACATGTATATCAAGAATGACACCCCATGCACGTGTATGGGGCTACTGCTTAGTGCACGTGCATCCCAAGCGTTGTGTTTAGGGGTGGTGATAAAGAGAAATGGTGGCGCGTTATATATGTCTGTCTTTGAAAAGTTTGTTAACCCTTATACTTCGTATCCAATGGACATTATCAGTCACCATAAAATTGAAAGTTCGGGTTCCCCTACTTTCTGAAGATACGGTTTACCAAACTTTCGTGAAATATATCAGAGTGGATTCACGGCATTTCCGGAAAGAGTACACGAGCGAGAAATCATTTCAACAGTGAGTAAGGGTATATAAAGATAGCCTTTGTTATAATGGACGGTTGGTAGTGATTAATAATCAAAAAAATGAATTAATGATAAAGTAGGGATATGGTATCAAAACTGTACCACACAGAAGAAATGTGATATGATAGATGACGAGAAATTACGTCTTAACAGAGTTTGAACTTCCAAGAGAGTAGCCCACCCGCATATTCGTAACCATTCGCCCCTTTCCGTAACCCCCAAGAAGAGGAATAACACCATTCGTCACCACTCGCCCCTTTTCAATTCGGCTTATCCCGGAATAACACGAGTTGATAACGAATGGAATAACACGTCGGTCATGAATGCCACTGAAAGACTTGAGTCTTGTGCAGAGCTACCTCCCTTTGGCTTGCATGCGATAGCTGGTAGAGTGTCGCTAACAATTCGTGCGATCCAAAACAATTCTGGCTTTATATATTTACAGTACATCACGATTAAACCTAACCCTCTCACTCCAATAGCCAATTTTGATATTTTTATTCACTTAAGTCCGTATTTCTCAGAAGAACGATTGCGAACGAACAAATGATAGGGAATAAATTGCGATATATCCAGAACTTGCTCATGCAACAGATTGTAGCAAATGGTTATAGCCAGAGGGGTTTACTGATAGCATAAACGTTTAGGGGACTTATTGCGACGAATCTGATCTCCGTAACAGCGAACAGTCCAAGTCCATTAGTGTGATACCATCAGTCATGCATGAGCGTGTTATGTACTGAGTTGACACAAGATGAAAATGTTTGGTATTCAAAAATTTATCGGAAATAATTTTTGAAATGTAATATTTGTTGATCGAATGGAGATAAGAAAATATCTGTATTGATTTATCACCTGTAAATTTCAATGACAAATAATAAAAATCTGAATTTTTAATGATTTTTTTCCCAAAACGTATTTAAAAATCGTTTCTATTTTTATTGCATACTATTAAATTCAGAATATTATGACGTGTGAAGAATTATTTATGTTCCATGTCTAGAATCCACAATAAACTGCTGGTACAGTACAACCAGAAATTATTGAGAATTTAAAGATTGTAATTTTTTTTTTTTCACTCATTACTCACGTATTAAATGTGAATATTAGCAGAACATAACTCCAGATTCAAAGGTAGGTGAACAGTTAGTATTTTGTCAAGTCACCATGGGCAGCAATGCAGGCTTCAATGCGGCGGGGCATACTACTGATCAAAGAAGTTAGAAAGTCGTGGTCCATGCTGTCCCAATATCGGAACACCTCTTCTTTCATTTCAGCAATATTTGTCAGATTTATCTTATTGACCCTTTTCTTCATAAGTCCCCAATCATTTTCTATTGGATTTAGGTCAGGGCTATAGCTTGGCCAATCTAATAATGTCATAGTGAGGGTCCGAAACCAGGCCTGTGAATGCTTTGAACGCTGTTTTGGGTCGTTGTCCTGCTGGAAAATCCAAACATTTCCACATAACACGTGAGCAGATGGAATAAAATGTCCCTCGAGAATATCTGTGTACCGCTCACTGTTCATATTCCCTTCAAATACAGAGAGGGGCGTTGCCACCCCACACATTAAATTTCGGACTGTACTTGATACAAAGGTTTTTCAGTTTGTTTGGTCCAGAATTTCAGTGTATTAGGAAACAACCACACAGAACTTTCATTTGAGAAAAACACATTCTCCCAGTTAAAATTTCTATGCTGTAAGCACCAGTTCAACCTTCGCTCCTTTTGTTCAGGTTTCATGATCGGTGATGGAATTCCTCGACTTTTCTGCCAACTCATTGCATGCAGCTCAGTTCTAATTGTCTCCTTACAGACAGCCAAAGTTCCTCTACCAATCATATCCCGCCTTAAGTTTTCTAAACTCCTTCGTTTGTTTTTAGAAACGTGAAGCCCATTTCTGGTGTCCCCCGCCGTGATGTTGCTGGAATATTGCTAAAAGCGGCGTAAAACCAAACTCAGTCAGTCAGTTTTTAGAAACAAGAATACCAAGCCGCCTCCTGTCACCAACAGTCAATTTTCTGGTCCTACCTGCGCCTCCCTGGTGCTCAATGCCATATCCATTTGCAATATGTTTCAAAACACGATAAACAGTGGACAAAGAGATGCCTGTTCTACTTGAAATCACTTTAGCTAATCTGATGTCCTTGTTATAATACTCTGAAATCAGTCATCTTCTCTAAATCATCCATACTGAGGAGCACTGAAAATGTCGTCTGCTAGCATGCAAACAAAGGGGGATAACTCTTCATAAACTAATGAAAAAGGATTAACGGAGTTGTCTCTTTTGAATGAAACCAAGCACTTGATAGCTGTTCAAGGTTGTTTATACTAGAATTCCAATTAAACATATTCCTAAAATTCTCAATAATTTCTGGTCATACTATTACAAAGGATGGACCTGGAAGTTACGATCTAACCTGAAAAAAAATACAAACGGTATTAAAACATTACGAAGATGACAAAAAGTCGTCGAAAAGCTGTAAACTTAAGGTCTTGTAACTATGATACGAGATTAGATATTGTAGTCTTTTGTTGTTTGTTTCATTTTAGCCACTGCCACATATGGTGTAGACTTTCTTCCTCACATCAGTATAGGCTAAATAGTGTGTGGTGTGAATCGAACTTGATCTCGTCACTATATGGCTGGAATAATGCCGATGTCACGTAAAGCCCAACTCAACTCAACTCAAAGTAAAAGTCGCCTAAAACTGGCACCATCGGATCGAAAAGAGCTTCCATGTAAAGGGTAGGACTTTATACGATGTGCCA